TGGCGAAGCGGTGGTGCAACCCTCTCAGGCATAAATCACAGTGACAAACTCGTCGCATGCAAAGGCGCGGAAAGCGAAGCGTGCCTTGTCACGGTGGTGTGGGTGGTGCGGGTGGTGCTGGTGGTGTCGCGGAAACGGAGGCAGGTCACTTGGGTGAAATATTTATAAATATATTTATAAAAGATATATTTAGTGTCTCAAAGTGATTTTTCAATTTTATCAAGCCATTTCAGGAACTTTTCTAAAATATAAGAAATTTAAATAAATAATGGAATAATCAGATAACTTATAGAAACAAAATTATAGCTTAGTTTTGAATCATATTCTCTTCAATGGAATATATGTGGGATTTTTATTAGGACTTCGGAATTATGAATATTATTTTATAAAAATTAGATTACAACTTTACAACTATGCCATAGGAAATTGCGGTCAATTAATGGGAAAATAATAGTAAAATATGTTCCTACAAATTAAACAAATAATTTTGAATACAAAAAAAGTTGGATGCAAGGATGAATAAACCTAGGTTATTTAAACACGAATTTAATATAAGATATGTGCTCCATTGATCTTCAATTAATTTCCATCGAATATATAGCGATGACAATTATAAAAATATTAAAAAAAAAAACTAATTTAAAGCAATATAGTTGTTGAATTATTTACTTTGTAGCCAGCGCGTAATAAACCATTTTCCAAGGAAAGTGTCACCCAATCAAAGGAACCAACCGAGACCAAGGCGAACCAATCCGAAGCCGAGATGTCAGCGAATTCAAAGGCAATAAGAATGGCATAAACAAATTAGGATTGATTTGGGACAGAAGAAGGGGTGATATGGAATATATAGATGGGTGGCTGGGCAATCAAAGGCTTAGGCACGGTCACTAATAACTTCTTGAAACGTGCCCGGCACTCCAAAGTTGTAATCCCAATCCAAAGCTCCCAAGGGAAGGACACGGACTTGTCGCCGAATCCCAAATCCCGAGTTCTGAGTTCCGAGTTCCGAATCCCGGCCTTCTATTGACAGACAATCAACATGGAGCACTTGAGCGACGGCAAACAGAAGGGAAAAATCAAAGCTGAACCGCAAGATATCACAGATTTTCATTATGAAGCATTTAAGCCAGCCCAAAATCCACCCACCGTTCACCACCCACTGGTCGTCCCGGGGGTTGACTTTTCCACTTCCTTTTTTTTTTCCCCCGGCTTCAGTTTCCTTTACGCTTTTCGGTTCGGTTCGGTTTTTGGCTCTGTCAAATTAAATTAGATGCTTAATATGCAGCGAACGTTTCATTTGTTTTGCGGCTAGAAAATCAACGTGGAAAATTAGGCAAACAAAGTCCGCACTCCGGACTCCAGACTCCGGACGGAATCCACATGGCCGAAGGCCACGGAGCCGGGAGCTTAACCTCTAATGAGGCGCATTACTTTCGGCCACAGATTTGAAATCATTATCCCATCGAAACTAATCCGGCTCATGGCCTCCGTCTCCTTCTCCGTTTTCGGCATTTGTTAATTTTGTGCAAACATCGGAGGCCCGGATTCCTCCGGCAAATATTGGACCAACGGACGCGAGGACATGGACACTGATTGCTCCGAAAAGATTTGGTCTAGGATTTGGGCAGGGAACAGGTTGAGATTGTCAAGAAAATAGAAGGGGGACAAATAAAGTTAATTTTTAACAAACTACAATAACATATTTCATTTACTATATCCTCCTAGCTAGGGCGCATATTATTCACAAATCTCCAGCCAGATTTGACAATAATAACTCAACATTGTACGTAAAACAAAAACTATTTTTTTAAATACAATTTTTAAAAGTTTAACTAAAAAAAGAGTCATTTTAGTTTAGGCGCGCACAAAAATACATACACATATGTACAGAATTATCCTGATCCAAAAGTAAGCACATCCATGTAGATCAGAACCTCTTTGGAAAGAGCTTTATAATGATTCCTATGAGACTCTCCAAACTAAATTAAAATAATAGGTTAATTATTATTAATATTTTCAACATAAAATAACGGACCACTTGCCAGCGAACTTTAATAAATATATAGGTAGAATTGGTTGTATCACATTTCTTCGTAGATTTGGGTGGGCTCCCTTTTCATCTCGTAAATAATCTTTTGTGCTTTCTACTTTCACAATACTTTGGTGCAGTCCATTATTGTAACGAACAAAAATATTCAATGTTTTCATTTAAAAACTACAATTGAAAGCAGAAGAATTCCAAGAATAGTAGGCCCCATCTCTAGTCCTAAAATACCAGCAATACTAAAATACTTTTATGAGTTGCCAACTATCACCAGCTGTGACTTCGATTTTAATATATTTAAATTTTTGGTATTATTTAATTTATCAATTTTGAATCGGTTGTGGTATTATTTATTTTTGGGGTATTATTAATAATAATAGCATTAATAATAATAGCATAGCATTGTAAACTGTTAATGATTCAACATTCAATTCTATCTGATTTTTATAACTGAAAGTAATTTTTTGTACACATTGGGCATTTTATTTTAAAAGCGAGAAATCACCGTGCTTTTCGTAATCGATATTTGCACGGCAACTCTAAAACAGTGTTGCACATTAACTATTGAGTACTGCCAACCAGCTAGGCGGATCTCTCTAAATCCGTCTTTCTTTTCCTGTCACGGACCCGGCAAGTTCGGGCGAAAAAGCTGAGCTGGTAAAATTTTGGTACAATTATTGTAAGGTAAAGGGAGTAAGGTAAAAAACCAACAAAAATCAAGAAATAGTAATGTTTTGTGAAAATATTACATATTTGTAAAGTAATTATGAGTTTAGCGTTAAATAAAGAATTCTCCTAAAGGAGGATGCACTCAGATTAAGTTAACGCAAATGAAAAGTGAAATTTCTAGAACTGCAAAAAAAAGAGTATTAGCCTAAATATACAGCTTAAAATTGAAGGTTTAAAAGTGTTTTTAAAATATTTTCATACATATTTTGTGATTGCAAGGAAAACCGACGATTTTCAACCAAACACGTGCGCATGCGCACAGATTTTTACCTGTGCTTTGTCATCAGTCTCAATATTTTTCTCAGAAACTCCTCGAAATACAACAAAAAACGCGTGTTTCTTTAAATTCACACACACATGTGTACACCAACATTCCTAAAACTTCCAAAAAGTGTTAAATTTACCCATACAAATGAACATCGAAGCTTTCAGAAAGTAAACCTTAAATTATACATAAAAATAACACAATTTTCAAGTGTTTTCATAACAAATAATAATAATAAATCGCAAAGAAAACTGCAGAAATTCCACGAAGAGCGTGCGCATGCGCATAGATTTTTTTTCACAGAAACTCCTAGAAACACAACAAAAAACGCGTGTTTCTTTAAATTCACACACACATGTGTATACTAACATTCCTATAACTACCAAAAAGTGTCAAATTTACCCATACAAATAAACATCGAAGCTTCCAGAAGCCTTAGATTATACATACAAAAAAAAGAATTTTCCAGTGTTTCCATAGTGTTTTCAACAAATAATAATAATAAATCGCAAAGAAAACCGCAGAATCCCACGAAGCACGTGCGCATGCGCAGAGATTTTTTTCACAGAAACTCCTAGAAATACAACAAAAAAACGCGTGTTTCTTTAAATTCACACACATATGTATGTGTACACTAACATTCCTATAACTACCAAAAAGTGTTCAATATACCCATCAGCCTTAAATTATACATAAAAAATAGACAATTTACAAGTGCTTTCATAATGTTTCGACAAATAATAAACCGCAGAATTTCCACGAAGCACGTGCGCATGCGCATATGTTTCTCCCAGCGATTTATCATCAGTCAGAATTTTGATTGATTACATTTGCCGAAATTTTGTGTCCAGCTTTATTTTTCCACATGTCTACCCCGATATGGAGTCTCATGTCTCCGGTTTCCACTTTTCAGACCACAAATTGAAAATGACCCTAGACACGCGGTCCATCCAAGAATTGCGACGACGATGGCGGCCGGCGACTGGAACTTAAACTCAAAATCGGAATCGAAATCAGATTCTGAGTCCGAGATGCATTTGTATTTGTATGCAAATTTTGTGATTGCTCGCCGCACAAACCACAGGCACAGGAACAGGCACAGGCAAGACGGTAGGAGCGAGCGACCACACAAAAATGGGCATAAATTACACGACCCGAAGGAGGAGCCACCACCAGACAGTGAGTACTTTTGGGGGACTTGAGGGGGCGTGGTGGGGGTCTAAAAATTGATCATTTCTGGCTGGGATGCGGATGATGAAGAGCTGGCTAGCTGGATGGCTGGCGCCATTGGAGTGCGGCGTTGCCACTTGAATATTTGATTTAACAAATGCTCATTTGTAAAACGGCTCCCCAATCCTCAATCCTCAATCCCCATCCCCAAACCTCGCAAAATTCAAATGGGCCCAGCCAAAAGACGGACCAACAAAATGGTCCAAAGACGACGGCTCTCGAGTCTCAGATCAGAGCCCCAAACTTTTGCTCAACTGGCTGGCAACAATAATAATGTCACGTTTATCGTGTGCAGCTAATTACTAACAAAAAGATAGTTTGTAATCCGGAGAACGGAGAACTTGGCCAGAAGAGTTAGCCAAGCGTGGCCAAAAGTGCCTCCAGGACAAAAAGGGGGGTGATGAGGGGTCTTTGGGGATGGAACAACAGACACCGACCGACCAACCGACCGACCACCGGTAGCCTGTAATCTCTACTCTGTATTTTTGGGGAAGCAAACTTTGCTAGCAAAGCAAAAGCAAAAGCAAGCCAGCCAGTCGTCGAAACTTGGCCAAAACATGTGCTGCAATCTTGGGAGCAGAGTTTTCTGGGCATTAGCACACGCCTGCCTGAATGTCTTGGCCAAAAAGCGAAAAGCCAGCCAAATTCCAAGCGAAAAACCAACACACCCCGAGCAAATGAACAGCTGCTCGAACTTTTTGGCAGCTCTGGGGGATCAACATCTTATGAAGCTTCTGTAAAGAGTATATGTATTTGTATAAATATAGTACAATATGATTTATATAATATGGGGTGTGGTTTATACGGTCGCACACCATAATTTACAAAGTCAATCGTCTGGGTTAGTACAAAAAATCAATCAAAACTGTCTGAAAAACTGCTCAAAAACGTTTCCTATATTTCGCTTATCTAAATTTGAATTAATTAAATTTATTTCATTTATTTTTTTTGTATTCCCAACTAGTTGCCTTGGCTAAATGAAGCTAAGCCAGCTTTGAGCAAATATTTTAACATTTTTGTGCCGTTTCTTTTAACAATGTGCAAAACAACTCTCAATTATTCCAATATCACGGAAGATTCTTAGACATACACCGTATTTAAAGCCTATTTCTATATGTTTAATTGACACGACGCCTGACGGACGAACAAAACCAAAAATCAAAAGATATAACAAGTTGTAAAATGAACTTTCTTGGGCTTTTTTTATATACCCATCATTTCGATGTCTAAGTCAAGGCGTTCATATTTTATAGTAATCGAATTATCAGTATTTCTTTCCATTTATAAAACGATTAAATTTTACAGATTTTTTCATTGGTAAACCAGCATAGATATACTCCTTCTAATGAACATGAAACAAGAAATCCAGCCTTGTTTTTATACATCTTTGAGTTCTACTGGATTTTAGGGTCAAATGCTGATTTAAAAGTTATCTTATTGGCTAGCTAAGCTAGTCTGCCTCACATTCACTAGAAAGAGTATATGGTGATTCCCTTTTTGGTTGCTACTAACCATTTGCCTATCTCATAATCGCTCGATTCCCTCCTATCGTACTAAATCGAATAATATCGCTTTGCTTTTGAGACTCTCGAGTTGAACTAGAAATGAACGATGCCAGATGGCAGATGATATTGATCCGGAGTCCGGCTCCTTTGCTGCCTACAACAATCCGTGCCCGTCCGTTGGCGTTCCGGTGCCCTTGACCGTGGTCAAACCGCCGAAGGACAGGAGATCCGCCTGGTCCGGCTTGTCGCGCGTGGCATGGTAGGCCTCGCGCTCGCGATCCGGGAACTTGGTGGGCAGATTGGGCGAGTGCAGATTGACCTTGGCCTCGAACCGCACGCCGGCCACCTCCACCTCGTAGTGGCCGGAGAGCACGTACTCGTTGGTCACCGCCAGCTCGCGTCCCGCGTCGTCGAAGTTGCGAACGAAGCCGAGGCAGACCTGCTTCTCGAACGTATAGCCATAGCCGGTGGTGGTGGTCATGCCCACGTACACGCCGTCGCGGTAGATGGGCTCGCCGCCCCAGCACCACATGTCCACCTCGTGGTCGTGGTCGTTCAGCAGCAGCTGCACATACATCCGCTTGACGCCCTCCTCGCGCTGTTTCAGCAGCGCCTGGCGGCCAATGAAGTCGATGGGTTTCTGTAAGGACAATATATATTCGTTATTTCTTGGAGTTTCTCTCACTGGCCAACTTAACCCACATTGAACTTGACGCGCCAACTGCGTCCGCACTCCAGCGGCGTGGTAAAGGTGTCCAAATCCTGGCCCCAAAAGGCATAGAACTTCTCGATGCGCAGGGCACGGGTGGCGTAGTAGCCTAAAATGGGCAGAGATCGTTTTCAAAAGAATGAAGGTGGAAACTGAGTAGCTATTTGCTTGCCTGCATGCTGTATGTTGAACTTCTGGCCCGCCTGGTAGAGTCGCGAGTACACATGCAGGGCGTATTCGTTGGGGATGTAGAGGACGTAGCCCAGTTCGCCCGTGTGGGTGATGTTCAGCACGCGGATTCCATCGGCCAGGCCCACGTCCAGTTCCTGGAAAATAATTTATAAATAATTTGATTTAAATTTATAAATAATTTCAAGAATGAGGGAGGTTTAAAATACTAATGCAATATTTTTTAAAGATTTTCTATTATATTTTCCCTATCTAAAATCATTTTAAAATAATTTCAAATAATCTATGAATGTTACAGTGTTTTGGTGATTGGTCCTGTATCAACTATGTTTATAATTCAGTTATACAGATCCAGTTACTACATCAATGTTGCAAAAATATCTAAATAGTTATTCGCGATTTTAATATTTACATCTTTGGCTTACAACGATATGCTGAAAGTATATAATTTCGAATTTATTTATCAATCATTTGTTAGTCCGGAGTGTTTTAGGTGCTGGTTTCAAAAAAGCACTAGAGCATTTCGGACTTATAAATTATTGCTAACTGACAACTAAGAAGATTGCTATCTATCCTAGAATAAAATCTTTAGAACAATCACCTTGTACGTAAAGAAGGGGAAGCTCTTGGGCGTGAGATCGGTGTCGGTGAGCTCGGAGAGCAGGATGCGCGAGTAGGGACCCAGGATGCAGATGGCCGTGTACATCGAGGTCACATCCGCCACGTTCACCTTGGCCCTCAGGTGGCCGGGCATGTGCTTGCGGATCCAGCACATGGAGCGCGTCTGCTGGATGGTGGGTGCAATCATCATGTAGCTGAGGAGCAGAGAAGGTCAATAAACCGAACAGGAGGATTGGAATTGTAACTACACTCACTGTCGCTCGGAGAGTCGGGCCAACGAGCAGTCGTTCTCGTAGCCCCCGTTGGGATTCTGCATGCCCGTGTGAATGATGGAGCCCACGGCCACGTCCACGTCGTTGGAGCAGAGGTACTGCAGCAGCTCCACCACCTCGTTGCCCTTCGACCAGAAGTCGTACTTGGTGAAGGAGCTGTAGTCCGCGATGCCGATGCGCTCCCGGCAGGCTCGATACTCGGAGGCCACGTGATCGAACCAAGGGGGCTTGCCAAAGGTCCGGGTTTGGGCAATCCGGAAGCGCGGCAGCCCAAATTCATCTGAAATGTGGTATGAAAGCGGAGGGGAATTAGTACTTATATAAATGTTACAATGTTTTAGTGACTGGTTCAGTATCAACTATGTTTCTAATTCAGTTGTACTTTTCCAGTTCCTAGATCAATGTCACTAAAATATCTAAATAGTTATCCGCGATTTTTGTATTTACATCTTTTGATTTTAACGACATGCTCCAATGATTTAATAGTTTGCGCCATATTAAATGTTAATTTATATTCATTTTATGACTCGAACTATTGAATTAATGCTGGCATACTATCATCCCAAGTTCAAACTTAACTTATCAATTAGTAAATAATCTCACTTTAACCAGTATTTTGTGTATTTTTATGATTGTTACAATGTTTTAGTAATTGGTCCAGTATCAACTATGTTTCTAATTCAGTTGTACTTTTCCAGTTCCTAGATCAATGTCAAGAAAATATCTAAAAAGTTATTCGCGATTTTTGTATATACATCTTGTGATTTTAACGACTTGCTCCCATGATTTAATAGTTTGTGCCATATTAAATGTTATTTTACATTCATTTTATGACTCGAACTATTGAATTAATGCTGGCATACTATCGTCATTAAGTTCAGACTCAACTTATCAATAGTTTGTAGGTTCGAGGGATGCTAAGTGCTTGTTTCAAAAGTGCACTAGTGTGTTTCGGACTTATAAATTATTGCTAACAGACAAGCGGGCTTTAATCATAAATCATCCCATACCTAAGCCTTCAATGACTTAATAAACCGAAATGTATTCTATGTGATTATTTATAATTCATAATACGTTTCGGTTTTTTAAATTACTGGTGGCTTTAATAATTAACTTAGTGACGAGTTATCTATTAAAGGAAATTTCCAATCATTTAATAGTCCGATTCGTTCTTAGTGCTTATTTTGAAAATGCAGTAGTGCGTTTCGGATTATTCAATTATTGCTAACAAACGTCGAGAGATCTTGTGCTTAAAACGATGTGTAATATTAAGAGATCCTTTTCTAGCTTGAACCGGACATGAAGCTTGTTTTTAAAAACGCACATGTTCGATTCAGGCTACAAAACGATTCTGCACAGTCAACTACGCACCCTGCTTGTCCTGCTGGTCGAAGTAGTTGGGTCGCTCGTAGCCCATCGACTGGCCGAAGACGGCGCCCGCCTCCTTGAGCTGCGGATAGATGGGCGACATACGCAGGTTCCTGCCCGTCTGGAACTCCTCGAAGGGGTAGTTGATCTCGAAGTGCTTGCCGGGCGCCTCCTTGCAGCGATCCCGCAGGAACTTGCGGTTGTTGTGCAGCCCCAGGAAGCGGCTGATGTCCAGGATGTGCAGGTCGAGATAGGTGGAGCCCCGGGTGATCAAATCGGTGAGCACGCGTCCAATGCCGCCGGATGCGGACACGCCCATCGTCTTGTTGCCGGCGGCCACATAGTAGTTCTGGATCTCCGGCGCCTCCCCCAGAATCCACTTGCAGTCGGGCGAGAAGACCTGCAGCGAGTTGGTGAGCCTGTCCAGCTTGGCCCCCCTGAAGGCGGGCACCCGCAGCAGCAGGGCGTCGAGCAGCTCGTGGAAGTGATCCCAGTCGGGCGGATGCTGGCGCGCCGCCTGCGACAGCGGAATCACCCCGTCCTCGTAGACCATCTTGGCCTCGCGCTCGAAGCCGCCGGCGAGGATGTGGCCCTCGCACTCGCGGAAGAAGATGCGTCCGTCGAAGTCCCGGACGAAGGGCGTGTCGGGATCGAGTCCCTCGATGGGCTGCGTGTGCAGATAGTGGTGCTCCACCGCCTTCAGCGGCACCTTCACCACCGGCTTGCTCAGCGTGCCCACCTCCCTAGCCCAGAAGCCCGTGCAGTTGACAAAGTACTCGCACTCCACGTCCCCGGCCGTCGTCTCCACGCCGCGCACCTTGCCGTGCTCGCTGTGGATCCGCTTGATGGCGCAGTGCTCCACAATCCGGACGCCCAGACGCTCCGCCTCGGTCATGTAGGCCTGGCAGACTAGCTGCGGATCGCACACCCCATCCTCGGGTATCCACAGGCCGCCCTCGATGCCGTCGAGCGAGAGGAGCTCACAGTGCTGGGCGCACTGCTCCGGGGAGAGGATCTCGCAGCGCATTCCCCAGGCGAGAGCCTGCGACTTCATGCGATTGAAGGCGGTCATGCGGTCCCAGCTGCGGGCCAGGTTGAGGCTGCCCACTGGCCGCCAGCCTGTGGGCAGACCGCTCTCCGCCAGCCGCTTGATCAGGTCAATGGAGTACTCGGCCAGCTTGAGTTCCGTGTAGCTGGGCTCGAAGCGCCCCGCCAGGCCGCAGGCCGTCCAGGGCAGCTCGCCGCCCACGCGGTCCTGCTCCACGAGCAGCGTCTCGCCGCCCCAGCCACTCAGGCCCAAGTGATAGGCCACCGAGGCGCCAGTGATGCCGCCGCCGCAGATGACCACCCGGGCTTTGGGCGGCAATTGGCCCGCCAGCTCCTCGCTGAGATCCGCCGCCTGCTGCGGCTGGAACTTCCGCTTGCGCAGCACCTGCTCGTCCACCTGACCGCCGCCACCGCCGCCGCTGGCCAACAGACGCACTGCGTCCGGAAATCCCGGCGAGCAGCGCCTGGGAAGTCCCGTCGAGCGCTGCAGCAGTTTCCACATCTTGTCCAACCGGCGCAACAGTATCACAACCTCATGGAACACACCTGATCCTCTGCAGGTCGCCGGGAATCGGAATAAGCACTATAATTGGTAGTTTACCACTTGGTAAATTGGATCTTCTTCAATAATATTGCGGCCTATCGGAAGTCGATACCAGGCGGGTCAGCTGTGCAGCAATCGATTACGGGTGAGCGATATCGAACATTAGCGGGGACACATACCATTGGCGGAAAAATGAAACTCAATTTAAATCTTCACTAGAAGTACCCATTGATTTGTTCTTTTGCATTCCGCTAATTAATTAATTATTCAACAAAAAACAGTGATTTATTCTTGGTTTTTAATCGATAAATATTTATTAATTGACCAAACACCACGATTTAATAATAACAATATACCAAAATCTTTTATAATAAAAGATAATACAAAATGTGAAGTGCTATAAAATAATATTTTTAAAATAAAAATGAAAAGCAACCAAACATACAAATTCATTAGTGTTAACTGGTATATTCTTAAAAGATTTGTGTTTTAATCAAAATCTTTTGACTATTTACCATAAAACAAGATTGAATACCTTCTGCCCTAAATCATAATCAAATAAATTCTATATGAAATATATAAAAAGAAAATTAGTGAACCAAAAATTTTTTAATCTAAACCATTATATAATAAAAACTTTAAAAATCACTTGTGAATTGTTAATCATTGGCCTTTTAATTTTCCTTAAAAAAATTAAAGATCAATGATTTTCAAATCACGATTGCATTTAACAACAATGATACAACATGATACAACTTTTTTGTCAATTTTTAAACGATTGTGTTTTAATTTATAATCATACAAAAATCGTCTATAATAAAAGATAACAAAATGTGAATATATATAAAATGTTTTAAATAAAAATTAAAGGCATACATTACAAACAGATTCATTAGTGTTTACTGGCCAGTTCTTAAAATATTTTTGCTTTATTCAAAATATTTTGACGATTGGCCATAAAACAAGATTGAATACCGTCTGCCTTGTTTTAAAATTAAATAGGTTCTATTTAAAAAGCAATAACATTAAAACTGACTTACATGGCTATATCGACAAGTCTATTGATTCTTATTAAGAATATATACACCTATGTATATAGATTATATGGTCAGAAATTAATAAGACGCTAAAAAATTTATTCTTGGTTTTTGGACAATTTGAAAATAAATTTTTATTTAAAATTTTTTTCTTATTGTGCAACGACCACGATTTAAATACCTTCTAAAATAACAAAAAATACAACAGTGTTGTAAATGACTAAAAAATGGTATTTTTTAAAATAAAACTTTATAACATGAATTACGAACAAATTGAGTGAGTTTTGACGATTTTTCACAACAATCATGTTTTCATGTTGAATATATATTCTGAAACAAATCGAAATCAGAGTTATCATAAATATTTAAAAAAATATATGAAATAAAGAAGACATTAAATCATTTACTCTTGGTTTTTGGACAATTTGAAAACAATTGTGTTTTAATTTCAAATTATTTTCTAATTGTCCAAAGACCACGATTAAATACCTATTAAAAAACAAAAAATAAAAAAGTGTTGTGCCTTCTTCCTTAAATCATAAAATAAATAAAAGTGTAGTGTATTACTATTAAAAAAGATATTTAAAAAAAAACATTCTTGGTTTGAGATCAATTTGTAAATGATTTTGTTTTTTATAATCATTTACTTATGGATCACAGACCACGATTGAATAACTTCAGCTAATAAAAGTGTAAGAGTGCAGTGTTAAGTGTGTGTGCTAAATTACTAACAGTCAAATCGTATTTTAGTGTACTAATGGAATATGATTAAACATTATATCTTGTGTTGTTTTAAGTAATTAATCTACTTCCGAATCCGTCTAACAAAAACACAAGAGACGTCGTCACATCATTCATGTCTTACAGAGAATTGTCTTTAGAATGTTTTTATATTTTTCATTATAAGGACTATTCTCTGTAAAACAAGTTTGTATTATTTCTGCAACATATGAAATTATTAAATCGAAATAAATTTATGATCATTCATGTCTTCGAAATGTAGACAGCAGCATTTTTTTATAAATAAATCTGTTGTCTATATTTCTGAAACAAGATGATATTTTTCAACAATCAGTAGATTACCGAAATCATATAAATATATAAAATATAAATAACTTTCGAATTCATCCACCAAAAACACAAGATTCGTCTTTTCATCATTCATGTTTTACGGATGATATTCACTAGAATGTTTTTATTCTTCATTCTATGGATTATTCTCTGTAAAACAAGGTTGTATTATTTCTGCAACATATGAAATTAAATCGAATTAAATTTATAATCATTCATGTCTTCGAAATGTAGACAGCAGCATTTTTTTTATAAATAAATCTGTTGTCTATATTTCTGACACGCGATGGTATTTTTCAACAATCAATAGATTACCAAAATCATTATATAAATAGTAAATATATAATTAACTTTCATCAAAAACACAAGATGCGTCTTTTTATCATTCATGTCTTACGATTGATATTCATTAGAATGTTTTTATTCTTCATTCTAGTGTTTAATCTCCGTGAAACAAGTTTGTTATATTTCTGCAATAGATGACTTATTAGATCGAATTAAATGTGAAATCATTCATGTCTTGGAAATGTAGACAACAGCATTTTTTTTATAAATAAATCTGCTGTCTATATTCTCTGAAACAAGATGGTATTTTTCAACAATCAATAGATTACCAAAATCATAATATAAATATTGAAAATATAATTAACTTCCGAATCCATCCATTAAAAACACAAGATTCGTCTTTTCATCATTCATGTCTTACGGATGATTTCCATTAGAATGTTTTTATTCTTCATTCTAAGGGTTATTCTCCGTGAAACAAGTTTGTTATATTTCTGCAATAGATGACTTATTAGATCGAATTAAATGTGAAATCATACATGTCTTTGAAATGTAGACAGCAGCATTTTTTTTATAAATAAATCTGCCGTCTATATTTTCTGAAACAAGATGGTATTTTTCAACAATCAATAGATTACCCAAATCATAATATAAATATTAAATAAATAATTAACTTCCGAATCCATGGTTATTTTGTGCTAAAATTGTGAAAAATTAAAAAATTATAATATAAAACAGTTAACTTCCAAATCCACCCAACAAAACACAAGGGGGTGTTTTCATTTGAAGATTTATTTCCAATAACCACCAAAACACCCAGTAACTTCTTAGTTGTTATATCTTTTGTTTTTTTTTTTACAATTTCTGACGCAACCCGAAGACTTTTCGTATTGAGTTGTATTTAGTGTTTATTAACTAGTATGCTTATGTTTCTCGGTGTTCGTTCCATAAAATCAACAAACACATTCAGACCGAAATCATAGCAATCGAGAATCCAAATCCTTCAAACCGTGTCTGTATATATTGGATATATAATGCGTAGTGTGTGAGGTTGCTCTAACATTTATGTTTCATTTGGTATCGTTTCTCGCGAAAGTTCGCTATATCCCAACACTTGGTAGGATCCATTACAACTAAACTAATTTTTACAGGGCCGAATTGTCGGATTCATATATAGCACATATCTCGGGGACGCGGTGATATAAGACTAAAACTGAATCCATAAAATAATTGCCCTTGTCGAGGGAGCTTAGTGCTGGCCACAAATAATGGCTAACAATAGTGGTGAGTGGGCCAAAAGAAAAAATGAAAGCAAGGAGTAAGCAAAATCAATGGAAAACCTCTACAATCGCTTTGGAATACAATTTATTGCAATTGAAGTTACGCACAAACGGCAATTGTAATAATAATCATAATAAGGACAATAATGGTAATAATAATAATAAGGATAGTAATGGTAATCATAATAGTTTAATATATAGTTTATAGTTTATAATCATAAGTTCATACGCAGCATTTTTAATATAAGTTAATTTCATCGACCATCTCGCGACCTCTTTAAACTATTGATATAACTCTTATGTTCTCGTAATCATATTTATACAGAAGTCGCTTTTATTCTGCTCACAAAAACATAATCAATAAATACGTAGATAGTAGATACAATTACGAGTTATCTCGCTACTGGCTATCGCTATTCATAATCATTATCTGGGGTTTTGCTCTCGCAGATGTACAAACTAGATCAATGTGGCCCCAAGTGTGTGGGTTACATCGCCGTGCATATCCTGTAACAGTTTCGCTCTAGCGATTCTTCATAGACTACAACTTATTTAGATTTAAAAAAAAAAAACAAACACAAACAAAATTGACACATTTTCCAAGTGTAGACATCCATGCAATTGGCGGGGTAAAACAGTTGTTCAAATTGACCTCATATAATGCAGGGTGGTAACTATTTTTTATTTGACAATATTCATATTGATCGGATTGATTTAACAAAAGTTATTGAGGCTTTTTAATGTAACATTTAAAGGTAAAGATGGTATAGGTCCTACAAAAAAAACCTATTAGGTTTGGATTAAAATGAGGAAAATTCGCAAGCTTTTTCCCAAGAAAGTTTTTACCCGCGCCAATATTATGTGGACCTTTGGTACGTTTTTTCGTTTTCGGGTTGTGGGTGTGCCAGAATTGAGGGCTTTTCGACTAAGAGGCTAGGCCTCTATCTAATGTATACATTATACATGCGAGTAAATAAATTAATTGCGATTTCAGTTAGACAATGTTCATTTCACTTTCCTCCTTTTTTTTTGGTTAACATTGGGATTGGCACATTATATTACATATCATACAAAGCTTCGCATTCGTTTTTCTTCGTTCAACCTTCAACTCGTGCCCTTAGAAAAAAAAACAGTGTTGGGTAAGGCGAAAGTATTGGGGGTTAAAATAGTTGGGATTCGCTTTTCTTCGCTTTCGTGTAATTTAATGTAACCGCTTATCACATTCATAAAACTTGATCAATTCTCTAAATACATAGTCGTAGGCGTAGGTTAAATATAGTACATCATTTAGTACAGTTACCTTGTATGAGTTAACTAAATGTTTTCGTTTCGTTAATAGCACAGTGTAAACGCTTCTTCTCTTCGATCTTTAGGGCACATATTCAAGTTTAAATTCAATTTAAAAATTCAAGGGAAATTATAATTTGATGTGGAGTTTTTTTCTTTGCCTTTTTTTTATAATTTAGTTTTCTATATTTGCGGTTTTTCATTATTAAGTTTTTTTTTAATTTTTTTTGGTTGGTATTTTTGCAACAACTACAATACATGCAAACAGCAAATTTCGAGTGCAACATAAACGGTCTTGACAGTTCAAACAGAATCTATCTGAAGTTCTTGTTTGTTTCTCTTACTTTGGTATAATATTCACTAGATCTATGTATGTATGTTATCGTGTTTCTGTGTATATATATATATTTTCCTTGGCTACTTTTTCTGGTAGTCAAAATCGCAAAATCTTTATCTCGTTCTGGTAAAAATTTGAAATAAAATCGAAACTAATACAGAGCGGATAAAAGTTCACATTTCATGTAAAGTTAAACCAATTTGTTTTTGGTATTTTCAGCTCAAGAATAATTCATATTTTTCAGTGTTTTGTGTGTCTGTGTGTATATATAACTGCCGGTAGGGGTGTTTCATTGTTTGAATTACACATTTAATACTTAGGTTTTATAACATTTACTTTAAAAACTATTTGCATCGTTTTCTCTTGTTCATGACTGAATGCTGTTTTTGGGTTTCATATATGTTTTTCGAGCATTTAAGGGATGTTTCCTTAATTTTCGCAAAATAAATGCTTTTAGAAAAAAAAAGACGTCCTACAACCGATCTATATATACCGAAATATATAGATCTGTCTGGTTTCTTGGGTGTTTTGTTAATTGTGGGCTTCTTGGATTACTTTACTGATTAATGGTTTCGGCTTACTGGTTAGTTAGTTGGCTAAGCTATTAGGTGGAGAATCGGAAACTCATTTAAGTAGTTCACTTGAAACGTACGGTTATTGGGGCCGGGGATGTTGGGTTGGTGTTATGTATACATATATGTATGATTGGCTAGAGTGCGTTTCACCGCCAGAATAACTGCAATGTAGTCGTTAAGGCCCTGAAACGCACTGTTCCTGTGGTCTAAACTTATCGGTGTACCGTTGTTACTGTGTTGTTAGCACAAAATACCCTTAACGATTTTTGGTATTCTTTTTAATCTTAGGTTTTTCTTTTTTCAAAATAAATTACAATGGATTCGAGAGGGCAAAGTCCCCGTAAAATACACACATTACTGTGTGGCCTTCTAATTAACTCCTTTCGATTTCGTCTTCATCTTCTTCTTCTTCATCAGAATCTTAAATAAATATAAAGCACAAAGTGTTGACTTTCCAGTTTTTGAATTCTAGTTGATAAGTATATAAGCTTATGCTTCCTGCATAAAACATATACGTAAATGTTTTTAAGTAAAGTTAATCCCTTATAGATGCGGGCGAGTGTATGTGTGTTTGTGTTTTGGAGTGATGAGTGTGTAAATACAGTATATAAAGAAGTATATATGTTAGCATCTTCGTCTTGATCAGCATTCTTTCATGGATTTCTCTAGTTTTTTTTAGTATTATTTTTTGGTATCGCGGTGCTCTTCCTCTTTTGACCTTCGACCTGTGGGTCTTAGGCATAAAACTCCGTTTTTCCTTGCGTCTTATAGGCCTCCTCCTCGATTTTGTACATGTCCATTAGCTTTTTTTTGAAGCGGCAGTTGGATTTTGGATGACAGACGGCAGCGTGTGAGACAGCAAATACAAAACATTTTGCAAAGTAAACAAATTGTGTGGTTTTTGGTGGTTTAAATGGCACAGAAAGAGACAGAGCGTGGGCATGTGTACGTGTGTCGGAAAGAGAGAGGGAGAGAGAACGAGAGAGAGAGAAAGAAAGAGCAAGAGAAAATATATAATTTTGTTTAGTTTTTCTCGGTTATATTTTTATAGCATTTTTGGTTTAGGGCGACACAGCAAACGATAAATGACAAGGCGTTAGGGGGCGTGGTTGGTTGGATTTTTAGAGACAGAGACAGTTTTAGAGAGTGAAAGAGAGAGAGAATATTTATATCCATAAAGTAGTTCGATAGTAGAGCTGCGAGCTTGGGATCGAGGGAGTTATGGGAATCAAGCCAAGAACTAATTGTTATTAACACATATAGAGGTGAAAAGGGGGACATTCTGAGATAGAGGGTTAAAGGACACAGTGAGTTCGACACAGAGCACACAAAAAATCATTTTAAAAGCACATAAAAGCATTTAAAAGCGGAACATTTAAAGCCAAATAAAATATCAAATGAATATCAATGTGGAAACTATTAAAACATTTTTAATCGGCTTTAAGGGAACTTTTTCAATAAGATAATTTAAATTAACCTTAATATGATAGTTTAAAAATTTTTAAAACGTATAAAATTCTATATTTGAGTTTAAGTTCTGTTCTTTTTCAAAGTAACACTAGTGTTTTTAATTTAATTATTTCACTTTTTAATAATTTTTGCTAAATAAAAAAAAAAGTTATTCCACATTGAAGTTCATACCAAAGGGCGCAAAGCAAAATGAAGGGGCGACTTCAAACTAAAACGCGTTCCTCTACAAGATCGCAAAACAGTGCTCAAAACCATTGACACTAGTCGAAAACAAGGGAAAAGTAGAGCACACGATGGATCAACGAAATGAACAAGTACCGATAAATATATATAATACATATATAGGAAATAGTAGATAATTACATCTTAGCAGTTAGTGTGAAAGATTAGCAGCTACTGACTGATCGATTACTTTTCAGGTTAGTACGGATGGGTACGGTTAGGTTGGGTTTTTGTTCGTGATCGGTTATTGTTTATCGGTTATCGGAAGATGCATCCCCACGACACTCTCTATCTATCTCTGTCTCTCTCTCACACACACTCTATCGATTGATAAGATTTGATAAGGGGTTACAGCCACTACGATCGTATCTGGGATGCATATCTTCGCTTTGCTTTCGGTTAAGTTCTTTTTTTCAGCTTTGTTCATGTTTCATTTTGCGTTTCAGTTATCGGTTATATCGTTTATCGTTTACGGTTTATCGCTCTCTAGCTATACGGGTGTGGTTGTCTAAAGTACAGTCTCAATACTGGTTATAGTGTCGGTCTGGGGCCGAGTTTCGCTCAGTACCTTTTGCACGTCGGTACTGAATTCCTCGACCTGTTTCGAGTGCGCCAGCTTCAGCTTCTCCATGGCGCGGCCCTGTTTAACGCCGATTTGCTGTGAAAGATTGTATATATGATATAGATTACTTTCGATTTTGCACTTCGAATGGCACTGAACCCACCTTCTTCTCCTCCATGAAGCGCTTCACGTTGTTCTGACGCTTCTCGCGAAGCCGACGATCCTTCTCGTTCTTAGTCTTCAGGGTCTTGTCGTTCTGCACCTCCTTGGCGGTGTCCGCCGACATCTTAGCCTGCTTGGCATTTAGATCCTTGATGTCCCTGCGGTGAAATAGAACACAAGTGGGTTAGTAGGATTTCTAACCGATTTAAAGGCAAGATTTACTAAATATATAATATAAAATAAAATAAATAAAATAAACAAAATAAATAAAATAAATAAAATAAATAAAATAAATAAAATAAATAAAATAAATAAAATAAATAAAATAAATAAAATAAATAAAATAAATAAAATAAATAAAATAAATAAAATAAATAAAATAAATAAAATAAATAAAATAAATAAAATAAATAAAATAAATAAAATAAATAAAATAAATAAAATAAATAAAATAAATAAAATAAATAAAATAAATAAAATAAATAAAATAAATAAAATAAATAAAATAAATAAAATAAATAAAATAAATAAAATAAATAAAATAAATAAAATAAATAAAATAAATAAAATAAATAAAATAAATAAAATAAATAAAATAAATAAAATAAATAAAATAAATAAAATAAATAAAATAAATAAAATAAATAAAATAAATAAAATAAATAAAATAAATAAAATAAATAAAATAAATAAAATAAATAAAATAAATAAAATAAATAAAATAAATAAAATAAATAAAATAAATAAATAAATATCACCTGGCATGGCGATCCTCCAGCTGCTTGATCTGCGCCGCCTGAACGGTGAGCATCAGCGCCTTCATGGCGTCCTGCGAGTCCTGGACGTGCTGGCGCAGCATGTCCCACTCCTCCTTGCGGTGGCGGGCGATCATGTCGGTCCACTGTTTGGTCTGGTCATTGATCGAGTTCTTGATGGTGGCATCGTTGCGAATGTCGTCTTTGCTCTTGCCCTTGATCAGCTTGTCGATGGCCGCATTCTGGGTCTTCTGCACCGAGGTGCGCTCCTTGGCGTGCTTCTTACGCAGCGTATCCAGTTCCTTGATCTGCTTCTTGCCCACCTTCTGGAAGCCCTTCTCCTGGCGCAACGACTCCAGCGTGACGGGCTCAAAGACCAGCGGCGGCTCCTTCTTCTCCTCCTCCTTGGCCTTGCCGGCATCGCGGGCGGCACCGCCGCTCTGCTCCTCGATGCCCAGGGCCTTCATCTGTTCGTTCTGCTGCTTGGCGGCGCCGGCAAATCCTCGCGGATCCGACAGCATGGCCATGAAGTCCTCAAAGCCATCAGGTACGTAGATCTTCAGCTCGATATTCACAAACAACATGGGCAGCGACATGGGGAAGTTGGCCTCCGTGCGCAGGGACACATGGCGATAGCCAGCCTGCAGGCCGTCCAGCGGCAGGATTCGCTGTCCCAGGATCTTGCCGCTCTCCTCATAGACGCCGAACCTCAGCACCGCCAAGTCGGGCAGCACCACCTTGCGGAACACGAAGGGGTCCTCGTTGTAGACCGGATTGAGTCCATTGTTGGCCACCAGCCGGGTGCGGAACTCCTTCTTCACCGTGTCCGAGGGCAGGCCGAACATGTCCACCTCCACGTAGGTGCCCACCTTCTTGTCGGACAAGAACTGGCCGGCTATCACCTTCACGGAGCACTGGGCCGCAATCACACCGTCCACCGGCGCATCGGCGAACGGATCGAAGTCCTTATCGGCTCGCCGCATGAAGTCGGGCTTCAGCAGATAGCCACAGCCGCCGTTGTACTCGAACTTGCCCTGGTTGAGCTGCATGGGCAGGTCGGAGCTCTGGAAGTTGAGCGAGACCATCTGGCAGCCGGCGTTCCAGAACACCTGCGGCATGTAGTTCGAGGAGTCCGCCCGTGTGCCCTTCGGATAGATTCGCGACATCTGGCGCTTGTTGTAATTGACAAAGTCGATGGAGCTCTGCTTCAGGTAGTTCATGCCCGCCGATTCCGCAAACGAGGACATGTTGTGGGCAATGTTCTTCTCTGTGGGGGGAGTATACAAAATAAATATATGAGTAAGTTGAAGGATATTATATTAAAATAAAATATAATAATATTAAAACTAATTTTGTAATCAGAGAAAGAAAGTGTTTAAATATTCTCTGAAAAACAAATATAGATCATCTTGCCCTGGTATATTCATTTTACGTTTAAAAATCTTTAATACCTAAAAATGAATACCAAAATCTTTAATTAATTTTATAATTATTATCATCATCTCTATAAAAAGTAAATAATAAATATGGAACGCCTTATCCTTATTCTTTAACTGTTTTTCTAATTAACATCACCATCTCTATAGAAAGTGAATAAAAAGTATATAAATTCATTTTATGTTTAAATATCAATAAATCTACCAATATATTCTTTAACTAATTTTGTTATTATTATCATCATTTCTATTGAAATTCAAATATAAAGCTTGATTGGTTTATCTACTAACAGTCCAATACAAAGTTAACATAACATAACTGATTAGGAATCTAAAAATATGGCAATCCTTAAGATTTAACCCATAGAAATTTATTTTTAGAAATTTCCTCTGAAAACTAACAAGTATATTGTAGACTAATGTGAATAGAGTTCTATTCAACTGGTGGGCATGGTAGCAAAATGTTATTTCTATTATCCAACAAAAGTCTCTGCATATCAATAACCACTCAATGCTTAAGTTCCCCCCTCGATGGGAATCTAAAAATAGGTCAAAGGCATAATGGCCCCTCACCGATTGCCTTGTCGAAGCCCTGGAACTTGATGGGCTGCGCATAATTGACCATGGATGAGAGCCACGGGTGCACGTTGGTGGTGGAGCCACTGTAGTTGGCCGCGGCGGCCTCGGCCTCTCCGCCCCCCTCGGCGGCGCCCTCGGCGGCGGCGGCTGCTTCCGGGGCAGGAGCGGGGGCGGCGGCTGCCTCCGGCGGCTTGCCCGCACTGGCGTCCTCCTCCGGATCGTCGTCCGTCTTCAGCTCGCCCTTGAGCCACAGCTCCAGCTCGACCTTCTCCACCTCCGGCTTCATTCGCTTGTTCTTGATGAGGATCTTCTTCTTCAGCTTGCAGGGCGGCGGCAGCGGTAGTCCCGGATCCAGCTGTATGTATATATATAAGTATTGGAATCAGAGATATGGTACAGAGCGAGTTGAAGGTTTATAGGTTACCGGGTGATCTGACAGCGGCTCCTTCAGCAACAGGTCGCCGAAGAAGTCATCACAGTATTTGGCCAACTTGTATTGCTGGGCGCGGTTGCAGTGGTTCTCGAAGGACAGGATCACCGGATACTCGGACGACACAAAAGCGCAGTCCGCAATCGCCTGGATGCAGTCCTGCAATAAATATTGAAACGAAATATTGTAATTAAATTTTTAGATAATAAACAAATAAATAAGTATATAAATAAATATGTTTAAATTGACAGAGATATAATTTAAGAAATATTTAGATATTTTTAAGGACTTCTTATAAAGAGTTTATTGAATTATTTGTTATCTTCTAAGTACCCTAATTATTTTCAACATTGTATTTTCCCGTAATTTAATTACAAATGCACTATATTTTTAAACAGCACGAATTACAAACAAAATAAAAATTAATTCATTTAATAAAAAATTAAATAAATATTTTAGGAGCATGTCCTAAACCGAATATTTATTGACTTATTTGTTTACATATAAGTACCCTAACTATTTACAATTCTTTTTATATTTTTACCAAATTAAATCACAATCGCATTCTCTTTTCATATAAAAACGAATTAGAAACGAAATAAAGACTATTTTGTAAATTACTGAAACTGGGACAAATTCAAATTGCACATTGCCTTCAAACATTTTAGTTAATACAACCGAAAATTATTCTCTGAGCTATAATTAAAGCAAATTTGTATGTAATTTGTTTACCACCCCAGAGTTTCCAAACAATGCATCCATTTTCCCCCGGACATTCTGTATACATTAGATGCACGAAGCTGATTTGCTTTGACAATTAAGATTACCGACATTACATGCACAAAGTTTAATGTTTCAATTAAAAGCTTATTTTAGTTGGTAAATGCGAACATGTTCATTTATCAAGTACTGGAATTTTGTAAAATGTGGGTTAACACATTAGGAAAATAAATAGAATTCCATTGACATATGGCAATTGAATTGGGATACATGTAAAGTAGTTAAATTAAATCTGATTGTGATTATGAATAAAATGATTTGCTAATTTTCTCCGCCTAACAAATTTCCAGTTAACTAAAGAACCCACCTTGAAGAGGATTTCCGTGCAGTAGGCGTGGCCGTGGGTGACGATCGGCTCCTCATCCTCCCCCTTTCCGTTCCAGCAGTCCAGCTCCACACACCGACAGCCCGCCAAAAGAGTCTGGCGGTACATCTCGACGGAACTCTTGCCGCCGATCTGTCGACCCGATAGATAGGTATTATGCGAGCTGTTTATATAGTAATGGGCCAGGGGCTGATCCATCTCCATGTAGAAGTCCAGTCGGTCCAAAAACACCGGTGCATTCTCGTCGGACATCAGGTAGCGCTTGAATCCATCCAGCGACATTTGATCTAAAACGAAACATTTTAATTAATAAACATTTTCAGCGAATATTAATCACATTGAATCCCCAACATGGGGCTATTTTTAAAAATTGTTTATCCATTTTGCTAAAAGTTCATATCAAATTACATAACTTTTCTAATTGGATAGAGCGCAATAAAGTTTCATCAGCATAAGCCAAACTTTCTAAATTAGTTCTAGCCCACCTAAGCTCGTTATTATAGTATTAAGTGTATTGAATTTCCACGAATTATAACCAACAAACGTTAAATTTAGTTTTTGGTAGAACTAGTTGAATATTTTTTTTTATTTTTTCTTAGTTAAGAATTCTTACTATTCTTCTTCTTTTCCTCCTCCAGTTCGTAGTCGTTGATGATCTCCGTGCAGCGTTTCTCCTCATAGAGAGGATACAGGATCTCGTTCATCCGAGGATCACGCTGTTTGTCGTTCATGAACTGTATAAATTGCTCCAGACTGATGAAGTCCTGCTTGCCCTTGGTACTGAAAGGATACACAAGATGGTTATTAATTTATATATAATTTATTATTGTATTTATATATGGTATTTATACTTACATGGAGGTGAAGAGCTCCTCGATGTCGTTGCGGGGACAGACCTTGTGGTACAGGGCGTAGAACTTGTCGAAGGTGAACTGCTCCTTGGTCATCGTGGCGTTCTTGTCGTCCGGCAGACCGGCGTCCTTGATGCACGTGTACACCAGCTTCTCCGTTTTGCCGGAGGCGAAGGTCTTGGCCAGCGTTTTCACCGGAATTTTGCCGCTCTTCTCCACGCAGTAACTCAATCGCATCCAACTATTTTTGGGTTACAGAATTCGAAAAGAGAGGGTCGTGTCAGTAATAATTGCACATTTTTTCCCCGGAATGAAACTGAGACATTTTTTTCGTGGTGTTTGGATAATGCAATTAAAAGGACAATAGCAAGAGCATCAATTTGGTAGAATAATAATAAAAATCGAACAACATGGAAAATAATACTTACTTACCTGGATTTAGTATGTTTTTAATTAAATCTGAATTTAATTACAATTTATATACATGAATTAATATTATTTATGTTTGCCTTTGACCATCCGCTCCATAAATTAAATTACAAATTCACCTAAAAGCCGTAGGTATAAATTGAAATTAAAATTTCCCATTAGCAAAAGGAAATTGCCATGAAATTGCCTTGAAACTATGTCAAAAGGTCCTTTCCCTATTCCATTTTCCCTTAACGACTGTTTAGTGAACTAAGCTGACCGGTAATCGAATCAAATATTGATTAGCAATCAAGTTCAGGCGATCCATTACGCAGATGATTAACGACCTGCACCGAATACGGAACCCATAACTAATTGAATCGAAATCGAGGGCCTCCTCTCTCACTTGTGGCCACTTTGCATTGGATCCGTGGGAAATAGTTTCAGTTTCGGTTTCGGGTCAAGTAATTGCGAAACCCGTATGCGCCGAATGACGCATAAATAATGCAATCAGGAACAAATTGCAAACTAGGACAACTAATTTACAATACAAACATGCAACTGCTACCGTACTACCGTGCCACGCCCACTCACGTTCCTATAACCACTTCCGCCTCCCATTTGGCCAAGGTGTTGGCTACGTCGGTGGTTAACACGGTTGTTCGTTGAATGCACTTTGCAACTTTTTGCACCACCCACCCCAGAGCACTACTAAAACATTGGGACACTGAGAGAAAATATTACTAGAAAACTTAATTTAAAAAAATTTGATAACAGTACTATGTTTTTTTCTAATTATAAAATTCTTTGTATGCTTTAACATTTTTAAAATAATCTTAGCTCAATAAATAAAAATATTTAATAAATTATATTTATTTATTTTTAACTTATTAATTTAAGTATTATAATTATTAAAGTTTAAGTTTCAATGTTATATCATGGAAAAGTTAAGATATCCCTAATTTCGTATCGTAATTTCTCGGTGCACATCGGCGGGTGTGTGATCCCGGATGCAACACACCCATTCCCCATAAACACACCCATTAAACCCCCCAAAAACACACTCAACTGGGCAGAGAGTTCACCGCAAGGCAACGCATATCCAATGAACCGCTGTTCGGTCGCCGCCTTTCATCTGGCCCACGGACATCGACCATCCACCATCGACCATTCACCATGGAATGCATTCGTTTCACTTGTCTTTTGGCAGGGAATCGAGCAAACTTTTGGGCGGTTTAACCCAATTTCGAATGACGAGGCTGGAATTTGTATTGCAGCGACCAATAAATTTAGGCCCAGACTTTAAAAAATGAAAACGAAACATGGAAACTCAGAGCAAATCTAGCTGGAAATAAAGCCAGCAAGAAAGTCTTCAAAGGGGATTATAGATTTGTATATAATTTAAATAAAGCTTTGGAAAAATCAAAACCTAAATCCATTCATTTATATAGAGTACCCAACTATTTTTCTAATAAACCTAAATATTTATTTTCCACATTGCCGGATGTGAATGCAAGTTTTGCTTTATCCTGATATTGCATCCCAAATTTCTTTGTGAATAATGATTGCTTTTATTTTCGCTGTTTATGTTATGACACTCATAATTTCCTTATTTTTCAAGTTGTGCTTCGCATAAGGCAGGAAGCCCTTTGACCAAACACACACTACTACTACACCGCACCCACTCCTGGAATTTTTCACGATGGCTTCGGTGGGAAAAAGAACAGCAGCAGCAGCAGGCCAACCCAACTTTTCTTTTTACCCAGTCCCCCATTTTGTGTGGGACAGGAAATGCAAATAAAATGAATTTATTTTGTGCTAAAAGTGAAGCGAAGCCATGAACGCTCCATGGAACAGAACACAGCAGTGGAAAATCAACAACTATGGAATTGGGCGGAATAGAAAGTCGAGTCCCTTGGCCAGGGATCGAATTGCAGCTGGGAGCTGGGAACTGGGTTCCGAAGGTAGGAATTCTCGGAATTGCGTAATCAGCAATCAGGAAATTAATAACGACAGAACGCGAGTAATTGACCCGAAAAGTCGTCCAGTCCAGTCCAGCATTTGATTAAATGTGGGGTAAACAAGTTTAATGGATGGAATTTCAGGTTTTGTGATATACTACACAGTTGCAACGGGGAGTCCAATTAGTCACTTCTTGCAGTCGAAATTGATTAGGAACTAAAGCTTTAAAGTGATGGTAGTTACATAATTAATGAATGCATTAAAGACTCTACTTACCGATTTAGGAAACGTGTGCTTTTTATTTTTATTTAAACCTCTAAACAAGCTGTTTTACTTAAGACTGTATGACACTAGACAACAACAAAATATACAAAATATTGTAAGTAGAGAACAGATCTAAATAAGTCAGAGTATTTCATCTTGTTTACTTGCTTTTTTTCAGATAATTTTTTTTTAAAATAAATTATCTAGTGTCATACAGCCATAAAGGACAAAGACATGGGTTGAATTCTTTTAGTGTGACCGTACTTACTGCTTCATCAGGTTGACGCGCGGGCACACATTTGTGGCGCGATTGTTATGCGTGATGAGACGCAAGTTCTTTTGCCAGCTCTGTGCGAGTGAGATAAATATATGCGTAGAGAGAGAGAAAGAGTAGATAATCGTAAAGGACAACGACATAAACAACAACAACGATAACAGTAACAGTAACGAGTAGAAGAAGAAGAAGAAAAAGAACAGCATGCAGAACAGAGAGAACGGAACAATCGATGCAATTATGTACACAGTGTAATCGAGTGAGGTGCAGCAAGTGGAATTAATGTGGCAAGGCGAAAGGACATGGGACATGGAACATGGGACATGGGACAGAGGACATGGGATACAGGATACAGGACAAAGGGAAGAGCCGAGGCCGTTTGCAAAAAAAGTGAATAAAGACAGAGCAAGTGCAGTGGGTGGTAAGGGGTGAGGTAAGTAGTGAACACGCCCACTTACTGTTTCCGCAGACACATCATGGGGCAGATATTGTTCGCTTTGACATTATGGGTGATTTTTCGTATGCCATCTAGCCAGATCTAAAAGAAGAGAGAGTCGATAGAAGGATTGTGTGTTTTCGGTGAGTGATTTTAGTTTCAGTGTAATTTTTAGCATTAAGGCGGACCTTATTTTTCATCATTTCAACTGAATAAAAAAATTGTATAATTTTAAATTTGTGATTACAAGATCAACATATTAATCAATATGTAACCACTCTGCGTATGAGTAATAAAAATATATTTGAATCACAGCTTACTAATATTCAAGATATATGTTTTTAAATAACGTGTAACTTAAAATTAAATAAAATAAAACCATCTTCCATTACTTTGTGATTACAGGATCAAAATATTAATGAAGATGTACCACTCTGCGTATGAGTAATAAAATATGTGAATCACAACTTACAAACATTGAAGATATATGTTATTAAATAACGTGTAATTTTTTTTATTTTCAGTTTATCTATATTAATTTTCTTTTTTAATATTTATAATCACTGAAATCTAAAATGCCACCTTTGCTTTAAGTAGGTAAGTCGGATAAATGAAATGCAGGATTCAGTTGCGATAGGGATATGTAAAGTACGGATATTTCTTATAGGCCGGATCCCGATCACTGCAGCCCATCACTTCCGCTTCCGGTCACTGTTACACGCCTCGACTTGACCTTGACTCACCTTGGCTGTTGCCGCATCTGGACAAATAACATGGTGATATGTTATATTGATATAGTCCGTGTTCGAGCAGATCGTCAGGGACCGCTTATCCAGTTCCGGTATGTTGGTTCCGTTCTTCTTCGTCACCTTATCGAGTATCTTTGGATCCTGGCGGGAAGGGAAATGCAAATAATATTCATTAGTTTATTCATTAGCTGCCGCCTTACATTTGAGCCCCCCCATCGCCAGCCATTTGACTGCAATTTGGCGCATCTCGGCAGTATTCAGTGTTCTGTATCGCACAACATTAATCTCCAGTCGCATCATTAATCAAGGCTTGCACAGAACATTTATCAACATTTGTGCAGCATTCGCGGAGCCAAACAAATATATTTTCATTCTATTTTCCCTTTTGGCCGTCAGCAACAATTAAATGTTGTGTACTTTTCTCGACGCTACCCTCTCCTGCTAGCTACTAGCTTCAATTTTGGCCAGCATTTCAATTTAATTGCTGCCCAGTCCAATGAAATGCAATTACGCAACTTTCGGAGCGCGAAAAAAGTATGCTACGGTTGTATCATTTTTCCCTTGCCCCAAAAAGAGTCTCAAAATTGAATAGAAAATGTTGAACAGGGAACTCTGAGGAAGTAGCTCTGGTTGGAAATATTTTTAAAAAATAAATGTAACTAAAAATCCCAAATGTCCTACATAAAGTTTTTATATTAAGCAAATATATTTTAATATAATTTGTAGGGTTATGACATGCAGTCTAATTTTCCACCCTACACAGCTGATTTTGCCAGCTTTGCCTCCACTTAAAAGGAGAAACCTGTTGTTTACCGCCTTAAATGCTGTTTCAAAGTCTTCCACTTAAACGGTGAATTTCTTAAAGGAAATTGAATTATGCAGAGACCCCATTGAGGATTTTTCCTCACCTCCAAAACACACACACACACACACACAGAAGGGCACAATAGCTCAATCAGTTCAAGTGCAATTTGTGAGTAAAGTCGGGGGAAGAAAGCAGCAGCAGCAGACTTTCGAGTGCTAAATAAGTCAGCCCTCCCCGATTTATCCCCCAGTCGCTTCTTTGAACCAAATAAAGTGAAAGCAAATGTTATAAAAGTTTTGTTCCCTTATTCTTTCTTTCATTTTATATATATTTTCCTTCGTTTTTCCTTATATTTCTTTCTTATATTTTTTTTTGTGAGCCACTCGCTTTGTTACGTTTGCAGAGCTTCGGCTTCAGATTCAGCTTCGTGCATTATTGAAAAGCGCCAGCAAACTAAAAGCCAGGAAAAGTCGGGGGCAATAACGAAAAAACTGCAACCAAGCTCAAATTTTCGTTTTCAATATTTCTTTTCGGTTGTGTGTGTGTTACTCTCTTTCTTTTTGCCGACTTTTTTCTGCGGTTTTCCTCTGCCAAACGAAGCAACTTTTAATGGTTCATTGTGCAAGGCTTTTCGGGAGGCACTCTGTCTCTTTCGGAGCCAATATACCCGTCTCTTTTATGCCCTAAAGCCGCACACTTTCCCCTCCCCCTCCCTCTCTTTCATTTATTTCACTGTGTGTGTCGCTCACTGATTTAATATTGATGACCAAACATTTCAAGTGATGGCAGAGCACTAAACGCACACAAACACACTCACACACACGAGGTGCACACACCCTGACAAATCACACGCATACACAGAGAAAAAATAAAAGGTAATCATTTAGAAAAGGCATTAAATTGCAATAATTAGAAAAAAAAACTTACTTGCCAGTGTGACCTTAAGCTAAAATTACTTTAATTGGGATGTTGGCCACACTTTGTTGTTTGTTTTTGAAAAGAAAATTTACATAGCTGAGATAAATAATAAACAAAGAAGAAAGATTATCCTAACTTTTAAAACGGTATTTGCTAACGCCTTTAGTTGTGAAATCATTTTTTTATTAAAAATACAAATTATTTTTTAATTTTTGCAGTGTACAAAACACTCACACCCTGTCCATTTTTTTTCGCTCTGTTGAAAACTTTTTGCATTTTGTGTCTGTTGCTTTTACTCAGCTGGCGTTTTCTTTTTGCCCATCTCATTTGTGGTCAACATTTTTGGCACACAAGACGCACACACAACTGTGATCATTATGCGAATTTCTTGCAACTTCTGCTCTTTGGTGTTTATTTTGCATTTTAATTGAATTCGTTAAAGGGTTAAGGGTTAAGCTGACAGAAAACTGACCAAGTTGTTCCTCGTTCAAGTTCTAAACAAATAAATGTCAGACTCTGTCAAAAAATATTAAGTCTTCTTTCACACTTTTTGAAGACAATTTGGAGGTTACGTTTGTTTCTACAAAAATTCCTGTCAATGACGTACTTCACTTTTTCGTATCATCATTTTGGCTACTTTTTAGTTCCAAGTTCTTAAGATATTTTTCAGCTGCACTCACTTTTTGGGGCCCTGCTGGCTGCTGACTTAAGCCGCTTCCAGGGCAACCTGTTCACGATTGAATGGAGCATTTCCGACCACCGCACCTGGCTGCCACTTAGTAGTCCCCTCTACTTCCCTTCCACCCACTACTTATTTTCATTTTCCCTTAGATGCACCTGTAACCTACATGCAGAATAGTCAAAGGGTTTGCCCGGGGCCAAAAGATAAAAGAGAGAGCAGAAGGTTTCAGTATTGGGGATTGGGACGGAGAATTTCCAGTGCTGCTTGTCTGAAGATCACAAAAAATAGCAAAGATACACTTGGTATCTTAAAAAGTGGTATTACAAAGCTACAAAGCTAAATAGAATGTAAAAGGCAGATGGATATATGCAAGGAGCAAACAAAGCGCCACCTAGCGGTGGTTCTGATATTTTCATAACTTTTTAATGAATAGTCAAATTTTACGAATTTTGGACACATTTTTTATAAAACGTGGTCGTTAAATTTCAAAACTTCAGTGAGTCGTCAAAAAACGGGATCAACTAAAGATCCTAAAAATGTTCTTGTCCCTACAAAAAAAAGCCAAGTATGCAGCACTGCAGGATATGATGGAATGAAAGTGGATATGGGCATTTCTATAGGTATGGGCAAATGGGCTTGGCTTGCCAGTTGCCAGTTGGATGCACTCATCCGAGCCTCCGTTTCAGTTTCACTTTCAGTCTCCGCTCCCCCTCCTCCTCTGCCCCTTTCCCTTCCGGAAAAGTGTGTCAACGGAGGGGCAAAAAGGGAAAACCAGAGACTGAAACTGGACGGCAAATCTAAATTAGTTCGAGTCTCGGGACAGCACCTGCATCGGCCATAAATATATATATATATAGAGGATGCTATATATATATATATAGAGAGAGAGGACTCCGACAACAAATAGATGGATTGGCCCAAATGGAGGTTCATTTCGGGCTGTTGCTGTTCGGTCATAAATTTCATTTAGGAGACGTCGACAGACAAACACAAATACATCACTCTATCAGTCCACCTCCCACCTTCTATATATATATATGTGTATAAACTGAGATATATATACCCCTTACATAGCACGGATATATGTGCCATATGTTGGATTAGAAGGAATAAATAAATGGGGGCGTGGCCAGTCGGTGACAATAAATCTAGCGCATGGAACAAATGCGTTTCGAGTCGAAGACGGCGACTTTGATCCACAAATGGCGCTGGCTGAAAACAATTGAGAGCAAAAGTGACATATTGACACATTAACCGACGCACACAGACACCCACTAGTGCACACACACGCACACACACTCGCAGGCGACAGTTTTATGGCTTTGTGATAGTTCATCCTGCCAGCGAAAAAAAAAATAAAGGAAAGACCAACTGCACTTAGTCAAAACTTGGCAGGAAAAGCGGGGAAAATTTAGGGGGAAAGGAGGAGCAACGTGTGAAAAAGTAGGCAATGAAAAGTGGGAGACAGGTGTCACAGAATAAGCACCAGTTCTACTCCATAAAACCAGTTGCTCAAGGATAAAACCTGATTGATTTAAATTTAAGGTTTCACTTTTGATTTTTTTGATATTTTTTTTATCACAAATGTTTTTTTAGAACTAGTTGTATTTAATAATAATCATGTAACTAATCAAACTATGTTCTAATAAATGTTTTAATAATATATCCCATTTATTTGGTAAAGAATGTTAATTGAATATATTTTAAATGGCCATTGATTGTGTTTTATTATTGACAGTAAATCGACTAATTGAACAGCGCGTCATGAAATGGATCAAAAACACAGAAAAACCACGATTTATAAATGTGTGGAAAAATATAAATTTGATTGCAACGCAGCTTTTTTAAATCCCTTGCCCGCACTCCACAAAGTCGTTTTAAATCTATTTCGCTGTAAACAATAAATGGAGCCTTTTAATGTTTGAAATGCTTTTGTTGAACCAACATCAACACAACTGGAGGAAAAGCTTGATTTATTGTGATTTTAAATATTGATGATGCTAACACGAAGGGAAATTGGATTTTCTGATAATTAGAGAACAAATTGGGAGCCCCCTAAAATAAATACGCAATATGTATTGAATACTCACCCTTGGGGTTCCTCCCGCCCGAATGTCGCTCACTTGACACAGCTCGATGACATCGCCATCCTGTCGAATAAATATATTTTTTAATCAGTCTAGAGTTTAAGCATCTTACTCTATAAATTTCACAAAATAGGTACTCTGATTTAAAAACACGTAGAAAATCCAATAATTTAATATTCAATGTAACTATTTTAGCTCGGATTTTCTTCCATTACTCCATTAAATTATTTCAAATATGGAAATATTAAAAAAAAACAATTTAGGTTGGTTTAAGGATTTTAATCTTTGATAATATCGTGACTAATATTTTCTAACTTGATTCAAATATTTTTAAATTAAATATTTTGTATTTAATATTAATTAATTTAAATGTTGAATTCATTTAATTTAATATGCAGGTATTTTTTTTTATTTTTTTAATCCTTTATCTTTTTAAATTAAACTGCAGATTTGAGTATAATAATTAAATTAGAAATGAATTATATTTTAAAAATAAACTAAGTTTTTTATAAATGGGGGCTTTTGTTTTGGCAACTTACCCTGCCCTCGCTTTTCCAGTAGAGGAAAAACCCGTACTCGTCGACCTTGAAGAGGGCATCGCGCTCAAAGTCGTTCTCCTTCGTTTCCTTTTCGTTCTCGAACCAGCGATCGAACACACAGCCCGTGGTCAATTCCGGCGGGACCGGAATAATCCAATCGAACTCGTACTTCTTGGTCATTATTGCTCACTGGGTGACGTTACGTTAGCCACTTCCGTTTTCGCTTCCGTTACTGTTTCCGTTTCCGTTGCCGTTGCCGCTGACGCTTCCGTTTCCGTTGCCCTGCACATGCGATATATATCTAATCCAGATCTAGATCTGTCCCTCGTCTCTCTCTCTCTCTTAATATTGAGTTAATTTCCAGACATTTTGTCCCAACGGATGTGAGTGTGTTTAATATACAATTGCATTTATTGTAGATTGCAGATCACATGGTCCGTTTCCGTTTCCGGCTAATTGAAGTTGACTCGGCTGCAATGGCTGCACTTCTGCCACGACTTTCAAACGGCAGGTTCCCTTTTATCCAAAAAACCTTCGACTCGACTCAGCTGCAAATGGAAAACAGAGATACAACCATTAGACATGACAGGCACAACGGGTTTCGGGTAGTCCTGCAATAATAATTGTGCGGCTTGCCACACACAAAATGAAGAAATGGACAAGGTGCACTGGCAGAAAATGCATCCACTAGAATAAGAATTTCTGATTTTATTGGAGTCCATAACATAGAAAATGCTAACTTTATTTAAAAGTTAGTGAAAGTTATAAGAAGTTCAATAATTTTATCAATGGTGGTTTAACTCTATATTACTCTAAATAACTAAATATTTTTCTATACAGCTTTTTTACAGTACACCAAACAGAAATCAGGAGTGTGCCTTGATTGGTCATGTTACAATGGGAAATTCAACAAAATGCATTTGTTTTGGCCCCGATGTCCAATGTCCATCAGGGCTTAGCTTTTAGTATTCAAGTGCATCCTATAATTTCCAATTTCGATTTGTGGTCAAATGTCTACAAGAAGTGTGTGTTCTTTCATTAATTATACAAGGAATGCTTTGCTTCTCAGACGTCCAAGACTAAAGACAGCAATTAGGCAGGTTGCCCTTGAAACTAAATGATTTTCTGAAGTTATTTGCATTTTCATAAGGTTTTAATGTAAAATACCTACTAATGATTTTGGGATATACCAAACAATTAACTATCTAAATAAATAACTATTAGCACCTTTCAGCTTGAAAATAATTAGGGGAAACATTAAAGATATAAATATTTAAATGTGCATAATCAACACAGGATCTATTTGTAAATCTGCCAATTTGCAAACAATTTTGCCAAAAAGTTTAACGAGTTTTCCTTTAAAAAAAACTTCCAAATTGAATTAGCATTCGAATTGAACTAATTTCGCACGCACAAATCCGCTTGCCAATTTGCAATCTGCACACACTTTATGAGCTTGACACAATTTAAAAAACAAAACAAAAATCCACTTTAAAGTTGAGCCTTTGACATGGCGAAAACTTTACCCCAGATGGAGATTTATGCAAATTATCGAACTGGGACTCGCAGGAGCAGTTATTAGAGGCACTTGTGAGTCTCTATGAGGATAAGTCGGCGCTACGGATCCGGCTGATAGCTGACAGACAACTGAACTAACACCGAATCGTTGCAGCCGGAAGCCAAGAAACATCTAAAAACTAAGACTAATGGAATTAGCGGGTGACGACATTGCCAGGGCCATGGCCACAGGTTCTTCGTTTTCGTTTTCGCTGCGATTCGATTTTGTCGCACTTTGGGGACTTCTTCCCCACCTTACCACCCCCAGTTACCCAGTTACCACCCCCAGAATCACCCGGCCACCCACTTAAAACGATGGCCATGGCCTCCTGCACCTGACTTTGATTCCAATTCGGGGACACAAACTCAAGTGGCTGGCATTTTCGCAGCTTGTTGCTGTACTTTACTTTACATTGTTGGCTTTTCAATTTGGCTACACGGAAAAAGCACGTTCTATTCTCTATTGACTAAAATAACTATAAATATCTGTTGAGTGTGTTTTTTTTTTTTTTTAATTTTCCACAAGCACGTTTTAATGCTTATCTGCCTTGCTTAGATGTTTTGTTTGGGATTCGGTCTGTTTATTTAAATACCAAAAATAGCTTTGCCTGTTAGCTATCCCATTTATATATGTAGGTATGGTTAAATTTAAGTTTTGTCCGGTATTTTATGGTATTTTTTACACAACATTTTTGATTTTTTTTGTACTTTCTTAGATTTTTATTTCAATCCGTTATATATTAATCTAAACTAATGTATAAAATAAACGCATTGACATAATAATCTATATTAACCAAAGGTAAAGTAAGGAAATACAACCCATTTTAAAGGGAAGTCGGAAAGACAATCCGATAATTACCAACCGATTAAGCAATTTTTCTGCGTGTATTTCGTTAGCCGTCTTGGCTCCTTTTTATTTATTTTATTTTGTATTTATATATAGTCTGTGACAGACGCTCTTCACGGGTGTCGGAGTCCTTTGTGTGACATTTATGCGCCCGCCTTTCCATACAGATCCTATATATATATATGTGTGTGTGTGTGTATTTATATAAAAAGCTGACTGATTACTCGGGGCCCCGTGATTTCTTCCGCTTTCTTTTTTTTCGAAGCGCTGTCGTGTTACACATGACTTCAAATTCAATGAGCTGCGAAATTTCGCTCATTGTTAAACTCGGAGAGCTCGTTAGCCAGACACACAAACACAAACAACCGCACGGCAAGGACTCTAAAAAAAAAGGAGAAGCGTTAAAAAAATACTTTCACGCCCGTTCCTCGAATGTTTAATGAATTTACGCTCTTTGCGCTTTTGAACTTTCGGGCTGTCGAATTAGCGAAGAAAGGAAGCACCAAGGACGAGGGATCAAATGGAGGAAAATGCCCAAGGACAAACAGGGATGCGACTGGCGAAATGCACTTCAGTTTAAATACAGTGGGACAAATAAGTACGTAATTCTTATCACTGAGGCTTTCAAATCACCTATTTTCAGCCAAAAAGTATGCAACAATATATCGCATTTATCATTGCATACTTTTACATTTAAAAGTGACTTCCAAAATCGATATATAGCAAGATGAAATTATTAGATTTAAGTATAATTGTATTGCCAAGAAAAAAGAAATACATCTAAGGCAATTTAAATTGAAAATGACTTGTTGAAATTTGCCATCCTTTTTGATCCCTTTATTCTTTATTTCCAGAGAATGGCTCCAATAAATCGCAAATTTAATCGTGCCCATTAAAGTGCCGGGTGCCAGGTTATAAGGCCATGCTGAACAGCAGCAGCAGCAGAAGGAGCACCTCCTTCACTGGCTCAAACCACTCGAACACAACACTTTTCGCGAAATCGAAGCACTTGAATTCATCTTTCACCGGCGACCATTAAATGCAGATACCAAACGGGAAAACTTGAGCACGGAAAGGAAAACAAATGGGAGGTGAGTGGGGGTTTGGTTGGGATGGATAGGAAAAAACAACACGAAGGGAAATCAAATCGTCCTTTTATGTAGAGCGAGATAGAGATATGGCACCGCTCTCTAGTTTTCCCCTTCCGGAAGTTTTGTGAAGGAGTGTATGACAACGGTCCTTTTGCTTCTTTTTTCGTCAAGTGCCACGCCTCAACACCTGCGCCGCCCCCTTCGGAATCGAGAGGAAATTCCGCCAGCAGTTCGAAGGTTCCTGTTCCTCCTTCTGTTCCTGGGTGAAAGGAGCGTCTTTCCGCCTTTCCGGGTTACAGAGTAAAAATAACTTGCATAAACTTTCCCTCAAAGGACACACACGTACGCCGAGAAGTGTGCTACAAATATGCTCATTACGTGCGCGCCAAGTGGCAGCCTCAACCCCAAAGGACAAACCACCCGGCCCACTTACCCACTTACCCACGACCCCCTAACCCCTAAGCCCCTCACCCTTCCCACCCTGCTCTTCGTCCTTTTCCAGCGACAATTGCTCAATTTATTATTGCATACTTTGCGGCCATAAAACTTGGCAGGCATCCTTGCCATCCTTTCGCGGCTTCTGTTGCATGTACTTATATATATAGATTTATTTTTCGTACTTATCTATATGCAGGGTTACAGGTGTATGGTTGTAGGTGCCATAACTATCTTCAATTTAAAGGTTTATCAACGTTATCAACTTATTAACGTTTAATTATTAGAAATATTTTTCGTGAACTTTCCTAAGAAAAAGATATAAAAATACCTATATTATGGTGTAAAATAGTTTAATTTATGGATCTTTAAGTAAAACTGTATTTCAACGATACTAAAACTACAAAAACACAATTTTACAATTATTTTGTTATGCCTAAAATTAAAACATTAAAATAATATATGTACGCTTTATTGTTTTCAAAGTTATGCGTATTTGCAGAATGTACTTTTTATGGTTTTCCCTATCTTCTTGTCATATCTGCAATGTTTTAAATATAAATATTTCATTCGCTTGCCATTTTTTCCCCCGAAACTGATGAATATGTTGGATTCTTTTTTAATGCCCTATAAAGTTGTAGATATTTTGCCAAGGCTTGTTATTCCCTGAATTGAAGTTTGCCATTGTTGCTCTTATTGTTATGGATGTAACAATTGTTGATACAGCTTTTATAGCTGTGTGCCATTTTTTCTGTATCGTATCTGTAAACAATGTTGGAATTGCAGTTATTAAAATTTCTTTGTCGAGCAGCAAGGTTGCTGCAATGTTCAGCCAGGTTTTTGCTGAATTGAATTGAAAGGCCTTTGATTTGAACAGTAAATGTAGACAAGTTTATATTTCATATTTATGGTAATAGTTCTAATGGTGTTATATTTAAATGTTATACTCCATTTATTTTTTTTACTTCTATTAACTTAATTTCTGCCGCTGCTGTTGGCCATTACACTTACGAAATTGAATTTGCCGGCCATACAATATTTGTGAAATTGGCATTTAAATATTTGATGAGACAAGCAAAGGGAAATGCGCAGCGAATCCCAGGTAGTAAAATATTTGAGTGTGTTTTTTCCTGTTTTTTTTTTGTGCTAGCAAAAGGGAGAAATAAGGCAACCGATTCGAACAGTGAACACTGATTGCACAAATGAAATATTGAGGGATTGAGGGATGTGTGAGGTTCAGGGGTCACACAACTTGACCTTGCTGGGCGCCGGGCATCCATCAAAATTGATGGCAATGCACACTCGCCTCATGCAGTCAGTTGGTCAATCAATCAAGCGCCCCGCTCAATTACATCAATCAAGCGGGAAAGGTAATCCAAAACCGAAAACCAAATGGTTCTTTTTTTCTTTCTTTCTTTCGTTCGTTGTTTTGTTTTTTTGGTCTCTTGACTTTGAGGGCCAAAAGTAATTACGTCTGATAAACAACTCCTCTATTATTATATGCACAAATTGAAATGGCATGTGTGCGCCGAGAAAGAGATGGCCAGACTGCCCGAGAGAGAGAGACGGGTAGAGTTGGTTCCTGGCTGTCAAAAGATGCGAAAACGCATTTTGCAAA